GGTGACTACTACTACTACAACAACAACAACTACTACTACTACTACTACTACTACTAGTACTATTACACTACTACTACGACGACTACTACTACTACCACTACTACCTCGTAGGTAAAATAGAAAGCTTTCTCTGTGACAATCGGCCCGTTGCCTGTGGATAGGACCTGGGGAACGATTTAGGGTTTAGGGTTTAAGGGTAGAGCTAAACTTTAAAGTTGAAAGGGTAGTCGGCTAAGTAAACCCGAAACCCTAGCACACCTCAGCCCCAATGCTTTAAAGCCTTACAACCCTCGAGCCCTAACGCCTAAACTCTGGCCACGAAGGCCAAAGCACTACTGCGGCCCACTGGCACTATCCAAGTTCGAGGCATGTGGTCGGCGTGCTTACTTCATCCTAAGTATTGGATTTCAGGGTGCAAAAGTGCTTTAATAATTAGGGTTTGCGAGACTCCCTTGCAGCTTTCGGGTTTGTGATTCGGGTTTTCGGGTTTACGATAATACTTTCCTTTCATGGCCATGATAGGCAATGACATACTTAATTTGCCTTCATCAGCAAACCCCTTTGAATGGTTCATTTCGAAGTGAAGGACGTAATGAATTTATGAGTAGGCTGTCAGGTACCATAACCATTCCAAGTGCACATTTCCCAGCCTCAATAAATTCCTTGCAACTTGAATCCTCTATGGTCCCACGGACTATTGATGTTTGCTGCGGTTGTGGGTTTAAACCGACCCATCGGCAATAGAACTCCATTACCCCACCAGGTTGAGGTCCTGAGAGTCGAGGTTTAATGGCTTCACAGTTTCTGGCGGTACCTTCTCAATCAAATGTGGACAGTGCACACAGAGTTTCGGTTTCGGGTTCGGCCTTTCCGGCTTCCTGTGCAACTCTCACCCTACAGCTCAACTTCAAGACTGCCAGACTCATCAGCTTGAACAGTAAGTAATCCACAACAAATGTCAGGCCGGAAAACCTCTACTGCTACTACGACTATTACCACTACCACTGCATTTGTTGCTACTAGTAGTGCTAGTACTAGTACTTCCACTCGCAGCACTTCTTCTCCTACCACCGCGACCACGACCACAATTACTACAACTGCAACTACTACTGCTACTGCTGCTGCTACCACTCCTACTACTACTAATGGTACTGATACTAGTGATACAGACCTGATACTACTACTACTACTACTACTACTACTACTACTACTACTACTGCTACTACTACTGCTACGACTACTGCTACGACTTACTACGACAGCGGCTACTAGTACTATTTCTGCTACTACTACTACTACTACTACTACTACTACTACTACTACTACTACTACTACTACTACTACTACTACTACTACTACTACTACTACTACTACTACTACTACTACTACTACTACTACTACTACTACTACTACTACTACTACTACTACTACTACTACTACTACTACTACTACTACTACTACTACTACTACTACCACTGCCACTACGACTTACTACGACACCTACTACTACTAGTACTAGTACTAGTACTACTACTACTACTACTACTACTACTAGTGCTACTACTACTACTACGACTACTACTACTACTACTACTACTACTACTACTACTACTACTACTACTACTACTACTACTACTAGTGCTACTACCACTACGACTTACTACGACAGCTACTACGACAGCTACTACTACTACTACTACTACTACTACTACTACTACTACTACTACTACTACTACTACTACTACTACTACTACTACTACTACTACTACTACTCCTACTACTACTTTTATTACTACTACTACCACTACTACTTCTGCTAGTACTACTACTGCTGTTGCTACTAGGTACCGTCTTTGATTCTACTCGTTACCCAGTCTTCTTACTATAATTGGAAATGCTCTCCCTAATACTACCTAAGATTTATATGCCTGCAGCGATGCCAGCTGACGCAGCGTCGGGAGTACTCCACTGGGTGATGCAAAACAATGTCCGACATTCGATGCGTGCGTGGCTGTGTAATCTGAAGACAAAGACCAGGACATCGGCATGGCATGCGGCACTTGCCTAATCATGCTTCATTTCCCTGAACACCCAGAGCCTAATTATTACAATTAATTAACCCTGCTCGCGTCACATGCCGCCCATAGCAAACATGCCCAGTGATTCTGGCCTTTTACACGACATTTGGCCCGCCTGCGTCCGAGCTATTGTTGGGTCGCCTGCGGCGTTTGGTACATTTCGCTCCATGTGTTGTCCTGCGGCTTCTTGCACAGAGGCGCTTCGCCGAACAGATTCCTGCTGCCAGGTGGGGCCAGGTGGCTCTTAATAGATATTAGATTACGGATCAGGCAGCCCCAGTAGGATTTCTAGTTCATCCCGTCACCGCACCCGCACAGTTTCTTAAGACATGCCCGAGTACCCGACAAGTTTGATTTTTGGGTGACCACTCTCTAATGCATGCGAAATAGATCCGTAGACCTTGAAGCAGCTTCGTCGCCCACATTATTAAGGTTCGGGGTTTGGGGTTTAGCTTTACCTACTTAAACCTCAGGCCTTAAAGCTTCAACGGTTTCTAGTTAAGCCGCAAGCCGGATGTTGTCTTTCTCTCAGGTTCAGTTCTAGTAAGTAGCAGTAGTATTCGAAGAAGCATTTCCCGTCCGAGTTAGTAATCCGAGTACCAGTGCTAGTAGAAGAGGAAGTAGTAGTAGTAGTAGTAGTAGTAGTAGTAGTAGTAGTAGTAGTAGTAGTAGTGGCAGTACTAGTACTAGTAAGTAGTAGTAGTGTCAGACTGGTGCCAGCAAATTCGTCTTTGGTGGCTTGGCCCCAGAACATGTGTCGGGCGCCATTGCGACGCTTCCAAGCGTGCCTCGACGTCTCCGTCATCAAGCGGGTCTCCACTCGCACAGGTGACATCACAATGAATGTCCTGCGGTTGAAGGACTCTCGAGTCTCGAGCCCTGAACTTCTGAAGCACTTTGTCGCATATTGGAGAAGCCTGGCAACACAGAAGCGGCTCGCTCCACTCCAGAAGCAGACGGCTCCAGAAGACGAGTGCACACAAGGCTCTTCTGACTGCTCGAGCCTCTGTCCGTTAGGTCATCACTCAGCACAGATCCGGCGCACTCAAGACTTTGCATGAGGCCTGCCGGCACAAGGACAAGGACATCGACACCGACTGACAAGGACATCGAGACCGACGCTCTGTCTCTCTCTCTCTCTCTCTCTCTCTCTCTCTCCCTCTCTCTCTCAAATAATCAAGTTAAGCCCCAAACCCCAAAAGTTTCCTTGTTCTTTTCAGAACAAGGAAGCTGCATGAGCCTGTTGGGGCCCCAACAGGAGGTTCTTTCTGGCTCTGTCCCGCCGTGGCAGGAGATACAGCAGCCAGAAAGCCCTCCGACCCCAGAGCCCTTTCGGTTTCGGACCCTAGACCCTAAAATCCTAACCCTGACATGGAATTCCGAAAGCACAACCCTGAAGCTCTAATTTGACTTAACCTCATGACTGCTAACTTTCCAACCCCTTGATGAGTTAGACTTCTCCAAATCTGAGCGCCGAAACCCGACCCCGGACATTTGACCCTAAACGTGTGCCTGAACCCTAGGCCCTAAGCCCCGTGGGCCTGAACCCTAGGCCTTAAGCCCTCCACTCTGAAATACTCGCCCTACAACTATTACATAACACTTAAGCCCAAACCCTGAAACGAAGACCAGGCCTGAAGGGAGTTGACCCCTGAATGAACCTAAACCCTAGACTTAAACCCGGAGCCCTCTAATCAATAAACACAACGTCCAGGAATGATTGCATGTTATTCAATGTGTTAACTTGGTGCAATTTTTGGGAGGCATCAAACTGCGGTGTGCGATCTTCGCAGATTAATGAAATAATTATCAAACCTGACATCCATTTTTGACTCAGAGGCCCGTAGTTTCCCTTTGCCACCATATTCCATTCTCCCTTGTATCGCCCGAGTGTCATTTTCTGCTGTCAGGGCTTCTGCGACTACATGATGGGCAACATCTTCTTGCTCGAGCCCACGAACATCGCTCGTTCCCCCTCGCCCGAGTCGCCACGAACCCCCCTCGAACCCCCCAACCCTTCGTCGAAGTTCGTCGCACCTGCGGGGGGGTTCGCCGAAGTTCGCCCCAGCTGGGTGGCGCCCCCCCAGAGTAGCGCCTACAGATAGTTAGCCTACAAGGATATGTATCATCAACCGTATGTGGAACATGGAAAGGCGCAAGCCCATGGTTTGATTTCTCAAGCGTCTGTATTATAACCCAAGCCAACTGCCCTAAACCTGAACCTTTGACACTGGCAACTCCTAAACAACCATGAACCTTAAACTCTGGAACAAATCAAGAAACCACTTGAACCGAGAAGTCCTAAACCCTAAACAAAGGAGAACCCATCGCGGCTTGGGGTGAGGTTTCACGATGGTTTAAGGCCGAGAGATCTTGAGGGTCAAGACGCCGAGGGGCCAGGGCAGGCAGGTGGTGGGGTTCAGGGCGTATGGTGTAGGAGTTCACGGATTTAGCGCTTAGCCCTCAATTCTAATATAGGGCCGGGGTACGTTATAGTATTTATTTACGGACGCTATGGGCCAATAATTTCGAGCTCTACTCCCCGCAGAACCCGGATCCTGGACTCCAAAGCACGTCTCGGAGACTTTCGACCCCCCAAAACCCCAAGCCTACACCCTAAACCCTAAACCCCAGGCTTGGTGTTTGCCGTGACCCCTGTTCTGGTTTCCATAAATGTTTCCTTAAACGGTAGGTTCTTCACGGTGCAAACAGGGTTTAGGGACCTGGGTTTGGAGTACCATACTTGAATTCTTTTTGTGGGTACCTGTTCCTTACAAGGAACCATTATGAAATACAAGTCTATACTTTTTCTCCCTGGTTACTTCAAAGTCCAGAAACCCTATTCTGAATAGAACCCTACTATAGATCCCTTTAAGGACCCCTTTTAAGGATCCCTTTAATGGAACCTCGGGAGCTGCTGAGGCAACCCATACGCGAAGGAGAAGGCGCATCTGCTGTTGGCCCACCGTGCAGACTCCGGTCTGCATGGCAGTAATTGGAGGTTCACGGGTAGTTATAAGGGTCTCTTTAAGGGCCCCTTTAAAGGGATCTCTAGGGATTCTATAAGGGTGCGTATACGGCGTTGGTGTTTTAGTCGGCTTTTCAGTTTGAGAGCGATTGGTGAAACTTCAGACCCAAATATTGACCCCCAAGCCCCCGCAATAAATTCGAAACGCGTTGTTAAGCCCAGGGCGCTAGCGTCGTCTTTGGGGTGGTGGTTGAGGGCTTAGTGTTCAGGGTGCCAGGTTTGATGTCTGGTTCCCTAAGGCTCCATGTACCCATACAGTATACACTTAGGCCTTAAAGGGGTTCCTATATGGGTACTTTAGGGTAGAAGTATTATATACTATATGGCTACATGGAGCCTTTGGGGTTTAAGGGTCAAATGTCAAGACGTCACAGCTTGCTTAGTCGCCGGGCGAGTAACGGGCAGTGAATGCACCTGTCCTGGGGGAATATGATGCCCCCGCTTAATTTATATTATGCTCCCGCAACTTCACGAAGTTTCCTCTAATTCACCTATGAACTTGGGCAGCTAAGTACTGTTGATGACATTTTTACACTGACATATAGTTGTTTGAATATACCTACCGTATGTGCAGAATACTTGATCTCCCTTCTCTCGTTTTTCCTAAACAAGGTTTCGAAGGCCCACGTTGGTCTGTCTTATCTTGCAGCAGCCATCTGAACCTTCAAATTATCTTAGTAGCTGAGTGGGTACACTTTAACTACACTTATTGGGATAATATTACCAACTACAAAACTGAAAGTGTGCACTTTTGGGGGCTTATGAACTCAGCAAATAAGTTATGAACTGGCATATGTACAAGCCATAAACCTAATTACCCAGGATCCAAACGCTCGGGCGCGGCCCACCGGCATGTTTGCAGCCGTTGCGCGGTTGGCACGCGTGCAGGCGGGTTGTGGGCTTTAAGGTGGTTTCAAGGTTTATGGTCTCTGAGGTTGCGGCGCCGACTCGTGAAAAGTCCGAAGGCTAAAGCCATGCGACTGCATTTGGGGTGTAGAGTTGACAGCAAGCCGCGGAACCCCCTGCAGTCATTGCAACTCTGCTTGGAGGTTCATGGGTAGTTACAACTGGGGTTATAAGTCCCTAATATGAGTTATTAGTATACTTGCCCTACTTATAACCCCACTTATAACTACCATTAACTACCCATGAACCTCCAAGTGGTGCTCCAAATCCAAAGCCACAGTCCATTGGATACACATCTTCACACATTGAACCTCCTGTTGCACAACATGGAACCCGAGATGTAGCTGTCTTGACAGCCCCTAAACCCTAAACCCCCTTTGAGCAAAGAAATTCAGGGGTGCTCCCATCCTTCTTTGTGGGCGGGTTTGAAAGAGTAGGCTTGCGTGTGGAATCTTCCATTGAAAATCGAGTTCAAAGTCAAACTCCCCGGGCCTAACGATAAAACAGGCCCAGTCTACTTGCTCTTGGCTTTACCGTCAACTGCTGTGAGAAACTAGGGGATCGTAATATGGACCCAAATGAAGAGGACCCTTCTTATGAGGAGCCCCCACAAGACGGAGAACACCGAAACAACATGCCTTGTCCAGTTTGTGTTCAGCAGCTTTGCTGTACTTTGGGATACTGGGTTGTTCTAAAGCGTTTAGGTCATAGCGTATCCGGTGTGATGCAGACCCACCTTGCCTTGAAGATTTAAACGCATAACACGGATCCTAAGATCTATGACCGTCCGATTAAACCCTAACCCCTAAGTCCTAAAACCCTAGACGCTAACCCCTAAACCCTGAACCCTAAACCCCTAAACCCTAAACCCAAACTCCAAAGCTGTGCCTTAACCCTTAGCCGATCCATTTACAGCCGGTCTATTATTCCCTGTGATCCTGTCTAAACGCCAAACCCTAAACCCCAGCCTCTACACCTCAAAGGGGCTGTGGTAGGGTTCCTTTAAAGGGTTCATTGTAAGGGTTACTATTATGTGGGTACTATAGGGGCTATGAGGTATAACCGTATAAGCCTTATGGTAACTAGCCCTTATAATGAACCCTCTAAAGGAACCATAATGTGGGTACTATGAGGGGCCACAAACCACACTTAGAGGCCCAGGGGACTTAGTAAGTCGGTTTATAGGTAGGGTTATGATTGGCGTAACTCCGTTTAGGCTACTTATAGCCCTATTTATAACCTACTGACTAAGTCCCCTGGGCCTCTAAGTATGGTTTATAGCCCCTTATAGTACCCACATTATAGTAACCCTTACAATGAACCCTTTAAAGGAACCGTACTGCAGCCCCTTTACGGCCCCTGTAAAACCACAGCCTCCAAACCAGAAGCCATATTATAGTAATCCTTATCATGAATCCTTTAAAGGACCCCTATTCTAACTATTAATGCTCCTTATAGGAGTACAGGAACCCTGTTCTAGAAACCCTAAACCCTAAACCGTTAAACCCTAAACCCTTCTAAACCAGCTGCAGGCGTCCCTTTGGGGCTTGCGAAACTGCCTGCATCTCGACTCGATTTGGGAGTTTCCGAAAATTAGGGGGGGTACCTTTAAAGGGATCCATTGAGGGCTCCTTAAAGGGATCTACAAGGCTTCTATAAAGGGTTTAGGGTTTAGAGTATCCGAAAATTAGACTTCCACGTGGTCGTACAGACCACGGCAGCGTGCAGATGGCGGCAAATTGCTCGACATCTGCACCAGCAAGAGCATGCTACCATGCATGCGGCCACCGGTCCTCAGGGACGCAGCGCTTACTGGAGTGCTTTCGCGTATTGCTACGTTCCATCAGCAGAGAAGCCACTTACAGACCTGGACTCCGAGTACTGGCTTTCACCAGGACATCCTGATATCCTGGACAGGCTGACGAAAGCACGCAAGTCCAATAATCGGATTCCGCCGTTGGTACAATTGGGGGTACCTTATTCGGGGGTGCTTATAATAGGGGTCCCACTATTTCGGGTACTATAATATTAGGGCCCCCTATTATCGGAAACCCCCTTTTATATACATCGAGTTTGGGTTTCTGTTCTGGGTTTCAAGTTTCCCTAGACCGCCTTAAGTACCCTCTAATATACCCCAAATACCCGCTAGTAAGGGCCATAAGGACTCTGCTCTTGATGATGTAAATCCTGCATTACCTTAATGATGACCCTAGACTATGGAAATTATGGTATAGTCCTTATTATGGGTAATGCAGGGTATATATATATATATATACATATGGTCACCCCCCCCATGACAGACCATCCCCTTCAAAACATCGCTCCCACCGGCGTGTTCGTGCTTTTTCCGGAGTATCGAGTTTGAGCCCTCCGAACGTATCCCTGGAACCACCAAAAGACTGAGACCAGAAAGCAGCACGATAAGGCGCGCGGGTGTCCTACCAAGAAAGGGATTACAGAGCACACGTGTATGGATGAGGGTTGTGCTGATACAGTACATAGTAAGCACTACACAGTAATCTTACTTGAGTCATATATAGAGCAGATTCCAGCATTTCCAAAATTTCCAAAATTCTCTCCCCTAACTTTCCGGATTTCCAAAATTTCCAAAATTTCCAAAATTTCCAAAATTTCCCGACCTAGTCGACAGGATTTTTCCAAAACATAAGGGCGGGCTTTTTGGAAATTTTGGAAATTTTGGAAATCCGGAAAGTTAGGGGAGAGAATTTTGGAAATTTTGGAAATGCTGGAATCTGCTCTATATATGACTCAAGTAAGATTACTTTGTAGTGCTTTTAACACTAACGTTGACATGTATATTAATGCTTTTATTACGAATATGCACATTACTAATACTATTATTAACATTAATACTCCTACGCCTACCAATAGTCAAATTCATATTGATATTAATGCCAATACTAACAGACACCTGCGTATACTAATGTCCGCAGATATACATACCACTATCTGAAAAGCAAATATATCAATGCATTCGTGTACTAACGTGGTATATTCGTATTTAATTTGTCATATACCCAGTTTCCAACGTGACAATATACTACTTGTTAACGTCTGATTATACTGTATTGATATGCTAACTTGCTAAGACACGAATACTGTAATATGCAACTACACTGACACATGGCAATGGTATACTAACATATGGATATACCAAAAAAGTTGTTAGATAATATACGAATATGATAAATGAAGTAGCATACCAGGATACTCATACACTAACATGTTAATAATCGGAGATAATAGCACACCAATATACTAATGTACTCATGCACGAACGTACGCATGCATTAATATACTAAGATCATACAAACATACAGGTATACAAACATATTATTGTTCGAATACATTATAATGTGTTGGTATACTAAGCTGTTTATATAATCTATCAGTATACTAATATATCAAAACTAATTATAGTATTGATACGCATACTAGCACGTCCGCGAATATTACACTCAAGTTAAATTCATCATTAAGACTGATTAAAACTGACATCGACATTGGCACTGGCATAAACACTAATTATCACTAAATATGCTAGTGTACTAATATACGAATACTGTAAAAGGCAAGTACACTGACATCTTCACATGCCATTATGCCCACATTTTGATATACCTATAAGCTACTAGGTAAAATACGAATATAGTAAATGTAGTAATAGACCACTATAATAATATACTAATATACTACTACGTTAACATACGAATATCATGATACACCAATATACTAATGTACTCATGCACCAACGTACTAATATATTCGCGCAATCTTCAACTCTGCAAATATACTATTGTTCGAATACATTACTGTATTATTATATTAAGCTCAAAATGTACGAATCAATCAGTATATTCACATATGAAAACTATTTCTAATACTGATACTAATACCAGCACTTCTGTGAATAATAAACAGATACTAAAACCAGCATTCAGACTGATACTAATACTAACACGAATACTATTACTGCCATTGACATCGACACTGGCACTAACACCAGCACGAACATAATCACGAGTTCATATTTACTATTATTGATATGTATACTTTTATTCAATACTAATACTAATACTGATGCTAATACTAATACTAAATACCAATACCAATACTAGTACTAAAGCAATACCCATCCTAATATCAATACTACCACAAAACTATTACTCATATGAACACTGATACCAGGATTAGGACTACTACAAACAATGACAGCAGTACTAAGAATAGAACCAAGAACAATACATATTAATCCTAACACTAATACTAGTACTAATACTAGCTACTAATTCTAATACTCATACTCATACCAATACTAATGTCACCACTACTGCTGCTACTACTACTGCTACTACTACGACTACTACTACTACTACTACTACTACTAGTACACATACTTAATACTAAAACTAATACTGATACTCATACTAGTCACTAATACTAATACTAATACTCATACTAATACTTATACCAATACTAATGCTACCACTACTACTACTGTGCGACAACTACTGCTAGTACGACGACTACTACTATTAACATCAATACACATACTTAATGCTAATACTAAGAGTAATACTAATTCGAATACTATTACCAATACTAAACATCCTAATATCAATACTACCACAAAACTAATACTAATGCTAACACTGATACAAGAATTAAGATCTACAAACAGTAATAGTGGTACGAAGAGCAGAATTGAGATTAAGATTGGGACTAGGAGCGCTGCATGCATGTGAAGAAATTTCCAAAAATTGCAAACCATCTAAAAGAACATTTTGGAATTGAGTTTGGGAGAAGTGTCTGTCGCCTATCCGTTGACAGATCCTGCCTGGGGACGCACGCCACCCTTCCCCTTCCCCACGACGGTCTGTCATGGGGGGGGGTGAGCTATATATATATATATATATATCATCATCATCATCATCATGGTAAAGGATAGCCTCATGTAGCCCAATCAAAGAGACTACAGTGGAGACTATAGGTAAGTGTCCAAGTACCGAGTCATCAAACTGTGTCTTCCTACGTATCGACCTGGTTGCTACAATCCTAAACCCAATTACCTAATGGTTAGGTATTTGGGACCCGTCGAGAAAGGCACCCCGACAAAAGGGATGTTGATCCCAAATCCCTGTTCCAGTCGCCAGGGCCCCTAAGCTAAGCCCTGGTTATAGTGTCCCTCGTCGTCTTAACCCTGTTTGTCGCCTTCAAAACCCCTGCCATGTGAAATTGAGTCTCCGGGCCGCCAAACCTTAAACTTAAACCCTATAAACCCTAAACCCTGAGCTCTACATTCACAGTTTGAATCTGAGCACCAGCTCCGCATTTGGGGGTTTCCGGTGTTTTAGGGCATTTAGGGGTTTGGTGTTTTTTTTGTTTACGGTTCGTTTAGGGTTGCCTTACAGCTTATGATAAGTCTTAAGCCGTATAGCTTGACGTATCGCTGGACTGCCAGTTGCTCGTGCCTGACCCCTTCTGAACGGAAGTATGCTGGCAAAATTCACTGCTTCTGCACCCTAAACCTAAACCCCTAAGTGCTAAAACCCTAAACCTCTTAACCCTAGCATTACCGCAGAGGAAGCCAGAGTTTCAGGGCTAAGCGAGGGTTTCCGGTTTAGTTGCCACACTTCTTGTTCTTCTCCTTGGTGCTTAGTAGGGACGGGAGGAATGGTTTATGGGGACTACTATTGGGGATTATATAGGGATTATAGGGATCCATTACTAAGCACCAGGGAGTCTTAGTGGCTGAGTAGGTAACCTTTAACCTTATGGGTTCTATCCACCATACTTGCAAATGGGCTAGAGTACTCAGCCTCTATGTTGGTATGTTGGACTGAAGTGACTGAAACTCCAAACACGGTTGCTGTAGGAAGCAAGGTCCCAAGCCTTCCCTCCCTGTACCGATTAAGCCATGCCTGACGAGCAGTGACCCTAAACCCAAACAATTCGCCGAACTTCTTGGTAGCAAGCTTCCTCGGCGTGAGCATGCTTTGCATTCGGGTTTTTCGGAGCGGTACCCAGCGGGTCCACATGTACTACCATTATGGAATTGGCCTTCAAAGACCATCCTTAATTATTGTGGTTTATAGGACCTTAGTATATGTGAACCATCTAGGGTAGTTTTAATGTTATGCGCCTTGTGACTGTCAGACTTCATGCGTGACTTCCAGAGTTGGTAGGAAGTCCCACAGCCTTTCTCCCGATCCCCAAACCCTCAACCTTGCATCCTACATTAGGGTTTAGGGTGTAGGGTTTAGGCACTCTACCTTCATACTCCAAGGGTTTAGGCCTGCCCAGCTGTACGTTCAGCATCCTAAAACAACTAGCAAAGTAATCAAGAAGAAGGTCGTGCACTCGAGAACAACTCAAATCGGGTTCGCCCAGGACGAAAACCCGCTACGCCGCCAGTGTCGCCGGGATAACTCCTCTTGGCATGGCAGCGTTTTAGCTTAAACCAGACACACTTCCCACCGTGAGCCCTATAGCCTGCTGCAACCTCGAATAGCATACCTTTCTAAGGACTTATAGAAAGAAGGGTTTAGGGTTCAGGCCCTGAAAAGGTAGGGCTTTTGGTCTACGGGTAGAGCTCGAAACTTGAAAATCTAACACTCGTTCAACTCAAATCCGGTAATGTTCAGTTCCTATTTTCCCTCAGACTCCAGATTCCGATCTGTTAGGGCCATTCGGGCCCGAAGACTAGACTCATTGAGGGTGTTGGACTATGTTGAGATTGAAGGTTTTCCGGTGCTCCAGATGCCCTACCTTTTTAGGGTTCCTTGTTTTCCTTACAATGTTCCTGTTATGCTTTCTTTATGTAAGCCTTTCAAAGGGTGCAATATTTGGGGTTAAGGTAGGGGTGAGAGAACCATCAATACGGGCAATTCGGGGGTCTGTTGACATTCTGACAGTATGACCATCTTGTTTTGGCTGTGACCCTGTACATAGGGTTGCTAGTAAGGTGGCCGTGCGTGTTTCTGACCTTAACTACTGCACTTGCAGTCCACCCTAAACCTCAAACAATGAACCCTCGAATTGAAACAGGAAATGTTCGGGTCCAGAAGTTGAAGCTTTCATTGTGGAGGGCCCCGGGGTCTGGATATAGAATGGTGAGGAAGTATTTGGGGTTGAGGGTTTAGGAACAACGATGGAGATGGGTTGACGTCACCGCGCTCACAAGAACTGTTGCTGCATCGACCAGCGAATCCTTTTTTTATGTTGTGAGATCTTAGGGTGCCCCTCCCGGCACCATGGGCAGGTGGTGTGTGCAAATAATACAGAAGCCTGACTAATTGGTACTACTATTCCTTAAATTCCCTCTTATAGTTTTAACATGCCGCCCTTCACCCCGAAGCCTTTTTCCAATGAGTAAGGCGCCTAGACTAGTGCTGGCTTGCAGAAAATCCCCAAGATGCAGCGAGGACATGGACAACTTACTGAACTTTTCACACTTGTGACATTTAGGGTTCAAGGTTGGGTTTAGGGACTTTTGCCAGCATGGAGGATAAGATTACAGGACACTCTCGGTGCCAATGTACACGTACTGAAGCCGATGACGGGTAGCAGCCAAAGACAACGAGCCAATGTCAATGCCGTCGTCAGAAGCATGTTTCGTCTGTCTTCTGGTCTTGGTTCTTGTCTGCATCGCTGTGTTCCTTTGCTATTGCAGCTGCTACTGTTTTAGTTGCTGCTGGGCAGTGCAACTTCGGTCCTCTCCTGTCGCTGCTCTCTGTCAACATTCGCCCAGTTGCACAGACATCCACCCTGTTCATCAGGGCGTCCAGCAGGCAGTGTCTGCAAAGGCAATCTCGTATAGAGAGTAACCTGGAATCTGAACCCGGTTCAATCTACACGCCACAAAAGCTCCCAAGTGATTCCTAAAGCAGGAATCCTTCCCCCCTCAATGGGAGTTTCAACATATAGGGAACCGTGAAATGAAACCCCTGCACACTGGCACGATTGCTATAAAGGACAGTCAAAGCGGGTTTACTTGTCAAGAAGCTCCAACGCCTCAAATCATTCCGCTTTATGGGCGTCTCCGAAAATGGGGGGTACTTGTTTTGGGGTCCGTATAATAAGGATCCTACTATTCAGGGCATTATTTTAGGGTCACCTATTTTCCAGAAACTCCCTTATCATGTCGCCAAGCCCTAAACTCGAAACCCCTAAACCCTAGGCTCTCGTCGGCAACAACCTAGGCTCTCGCTGGCAATAACGAAACCCCTAAACCCCAGGCTCTCGTCGGCGATGAGCAGCTGGTGCCGGGGTCTGGTTGAACTGGAACTCCTTAGGAGCCGGCTTTCAGAAAATGTATGCCTACGGTTGGAGTACCGGAGTACCATACTTCAATACTTTTTTGGGGGTACCTCTTCCTTATGAAATAAAAGTCTATACTTTTTCTCGCTTCTTACTTCAAAGTTCAGTGTATGACTTGAGAGTTTTCATCATATAATCATCACCAGCGAAATCGACCATATTCTGTTTGTTGCGGGTCCACGAGACTATAGTTCGTTGTCACATAAGACCCTCAAGACGTCTAAGTATTCGAACAGAGGCCCTACACCTTACACAGGCTCCTTAAAGGATCTAGAACGGACGCCCACTTCGAGAGCCTTAATTATCTTATGCAGCATAGTTGTCCGATACCTTTTTTTCGGGTTTTGCTGTTAACGATCCGTTAAGTGGTTTGGGTAGCGCCCGGACGCCCAAAATTGCTTCCGCCTTATGCAGGGCAGGCCTCATTCAGGATTTTGGATGAACCCCATACATCGAAATACGATTCCTGAGGGCTTCTCATAATAGTCTCGCTGTTAAAGCATAAAGGCTTATTCAACTGACTACGCTCATACAGCCGGGATGTTCCCGGTTTGTTCTGAGATTTAGGGATCTTTATATACCGTGAGAGTAGACCATTCTTTCGGGGATCATCAGACACGGTGACCAACACCGCCAGACCCCGAAGGGTTAGGGACCACCCAAGTGTCATGTGGGGAGTGCTTGGAGGGTCGGGGGACTTAGTAACTGGCTAGTTTAGGGACTTATAAGTACCATAACCCCAATTAGGGTCCCTTTTGGGGTACTTATAAGTCTACTGACTACCTACTTACTAAGTCCCCTAAAGACCCTCCAAGTGAGTTCAAAGAGGCCTAAACCCTGAGCCCAAAAACCCAGTTAATCATCAAGCCCTAAACCCGAAACCCTATAGATATAAGCCCCAAACCCCAAACTCTTGGCCCTAAGGCTCCCTAAGTTCAAAAGTCTATACCGTCAACCTTGAACCCTAACCGCAAGGCCGTTGTAAACTCCCTCATCCCAAAACTCTAAACCAAAAAACCCTAAACCCCTAAACCCTAAACCCTAAACCCCTAAACCCCTAAACCCCACCCCCTAAGCCCTAATCCCAAAACTCTATTCCAGGCGTGCCTTTTTCTGGAGATCGGGGCTGAGCTCTCTGCGAATGACCGTGGAGACCTCCCAGACGATCTCGCGCCCCGGCTTTAGGGTTTACCTTAAGCCGGAATAACCTACCTTTTTTAGGGTTCCTTATTATCATTTCCGTATATAGGTCCTGAAAAAAGGAAGTTATTCCGGCTTAAGGTAGGGTCTAAGAAGATTCGGGGACTTCGTAGGTAGGTTATAGGTACAGTTTGGGGTACCCAGCGAGGATTACCCTGATTATACAGTTGGCTTAATTGGCTTACTCAGTTCCCTGGTCCTTGAAGTTGTACTTTACTTGGAGGGTTGGGGGACTTAGTAAATAGGTAGTAAGTAGACTTAGAAGTACCCTAAAAGGGACCCTAGCTGGGGCTATGATACTTATAAGTCCCCAAAGTAGCCAGTTACTAAGTCCCCCGACCCTCCAAGTAAGCTGTTCGAATCGAAGGCTCGTTGAGCCCGAAGGGCTTGAGGCTTGTAAGTTGGAAGGCTGATGCCCAGAGACTCCAATATCCCTTAATTAAGGACTATTCCTTAAATCATATTAGGGATCCTACTATAACTTAAGGAATATTCCTTAATTAAGGGATGTTGGAGTCTCTGGGTGTGCATGAGGGTCTTTGCGGTTGTTGCTCTTCAGAGTACCTAGCATTGGCCGCGGCGTTTGTTTGGTCTACGATTCAGGGTGTTGGGTTTAGTATGTAGGGTTCAGGGCTTAGTAGGTTTTAGGGTTCAGGGGGCACCTCCAAAACCGCAAAACCCTAAATGGGAGTTTCCGAAAATAGGGGACCCTAATACAGTACCCTTAATTGTAGGATCCTTATGATAAGGATCCCAAAATAGGGTACCCCTAATATCGGAAACTCCCTAAATCCTAGACTCCTCCAAACTCGCAAAACCCTAAATCCTAGACCCTAAACCCTAAACCGCAAAACCCTTAAATCCTAATCTCAAGAAAGATCGGGCCGAGGCCAGGGCGAATCGGCACCACCACCTTGTCGCCCGGCAGCAACCTTCGAGGTACTGTAGGGGCAGACTGGGTCCCTTTAAGGGGATCCTTAAGGGTTCCTTTAAAGGAATCCTTAAAAAGGGCTCTATAAGGGATCTATAGTAGGGTACTACTATACAAGGGCCTTAATAAATAGAATAGGGTTTGGGGTTGCTTTATCGTATAACTAATTATAATGAGGATTCTAACAATAATATTGGGAATTACTTGGGCTGCTATGGTACTCAAACTCGCGACCCTTCTCCGGATAGTTTAGGATTTTTGGGCTTACGGAATGAGCTTTTGGGGCTCTGCGCTATTATGAGAGGGATCTCCCAAGCTGTTCTGGCCACCAAGCTACAACTCCAAAGTATCCCGAGTAATATAGCGGCCTCAATAATTGCCTAAACTATTTTGGGGGTTCCATCTTCTGATCTATAGTATAATGGGCCCCAAAACCCTGTTTTGCTTACTATGGCCCCTACATTATAGAACCCAACCATAGATCCCTTTAAGGAGCCCTTTTAAGGACCCCCTGTAAAGGAACATTTATTCCAATTATTAAGTCCCCTACATTCAAGCCCTTGCAGTAATTCTTGGGCTTTCCTGCAAAATGCATCTTCCAGACAGACCTTTTTGCTGCATGTCTTGGAGGTTCATGGGTAGTTATAAGGGTTCCTTTAAGGGCCCCTTCAAAGGGATCTATAGGGATTCTATAAGGGTATAGGTTTTAGGGTCTACTTGGGGGTTCATGGGTAGTTAACTAGTAGTTATAAGTGGCGTTATAAGTAGAGTTCCTTAAGGGCTCTATAAGGTTTCGGGTTTAAGGGAAAGGATTATAGGGTTTAGGGTTTAGGGGTAGTTAGCAACCAGCACGAGTTCACCATTCTTCAGTACGACGGTGAGAAGTACGCAATCGTCCAGAACGAGATTCTGGCGATCATGGGAGAGCTGGCCACCCTTTTCGGCAGACAGATCCCGTCGGCGTGCTTTGCATAGGCGTGTTTATAGGTGTCCAGACATCTTCAACCGCCAGGAGGAGCGTCGCAGACTGCAGTGCGCGCAGGCCCCAATTTGCCATGCTCGACGGCAATCCCAACGAAGCCCGAGGCCTGGGTCGCCGACAGTTGAATGAGCTCTTGGTGAACACTCCATATTACCGACGCCTTCCTCAGCATTACATGGACAAGAGGATCGGCGAAAGTGGACACCAGCGTATCACTGCCTCGGCTCCAGCATCGGAGAGACGTTCGCCTATACTTATGACCCATATAAGGGGACTGATAACCCTACTAAACCTCCAAGTCTTGCAATCCTGGGCCCCGAAGCCTTGTTTGGGAAAGAGGTTCGCGGGGTGCCGGCACGGCTTTGTTGTAGAGTTCTGAACGGTTCCCCCTTGTCCCTGCGTGCTTGTGTTGGCGTCTGTCCCAAAACTGAATGACGGGCTTGCGATCGCTTTCAATCAATCTCCTTCCTTCCGCCCTAATTGCCCAACACTTCCCACACCCTTTGGCCCCAAGGCCCTGCAACGTGTAATCTCTGGAAATTTGCATTTTAGACCTGTCCTCGATCCTGAAAACCCGTTTGCCTACACTTGTACTCTTATCCACTACACACATGGATAACCAAACCCCTCCGCACTTCATACCTTTTCGGTGTCTCCGTTTCGAGTCAGGAGTTCAGCTAGGGTTCATCTACCCAGACAGCCCACTACACCTTAATTAAGCAGTCTATCTAAAACCATACTATGATTGTCCCTCTAAATTGAAGGTATGTTCTGTAACGAATACCTAGTTGAAGGTATGTTCTGTAACGAATACCTTAAATCATAAAACCATAATATGAAGGTCCGCCTACAATTCTCGGTACATTCCGCAATCAGGGGGACCCCTGGGCTCTCTGAGTACGTCAACCCCACACGTTGCGCGAAGGTGTCCGTCCTGTCCCTGCTGCCGGTGTGAGCTGAAAGTCGCGAAAGCACCAAAAAGCTGGGGCGTTGCAGGTGATTTGGGTTTCGTGTTGAGGCTTAGGCTTTGGTAGTCGCTAAATCCCAAAACGCAAAAGCCTTAACCCCTAAGACGCCCGAAGACCCTAAAGTGCCTAACGCCTTGCACCCGTCGAGGTACGCCGTCGCGTCTGGTCGCCCCTGTATGATGGAACCCTGAAGAGATGTAGAGCCCGTACTTGAAGGTCCATGGGTAGGTAGTTATATGTGTGGGTATAAATAGGGTAACTATAATTATAGCCCATATCATTCGGGGACCTATGATTATGACGCTACTTATACCGACCCATGACCCTCCAAGTAGTGGACCCTTAATCGAACTCTCCAAGAAACCTAAGCACCGTTATATCATCTACTTTCCGCAAGATAGAACCCTGACCCAGACCCCCGGGAGGATCTAGAAAGTAGATCCCCTAATTTTGGGCCCTATACTACTAAGGGTACTTTATAGAAACCCCCATCAAGGGATCTACTTTTTGGATCCTTCCGGGGGTCTGGGGAGTGAACCCTTAACGGAACCTTCAAGATCCCTCAACCCGTCACTTGAAGGTTCATGGGTAGTTTATACGTGGGGTTATAAGTCCCCTACCTGGGTTTGGAGTACCATACTGGGGTTTAGGGGTTTAGGGTTTAGGGTAGTACTAGTACCTGGGTCTGGAGTACCATACTTGAATACTTGTTTTTGGTACCTGTTCCTTAAAAGAACCATTATGACATGAAAATCTATACTTTTTTCTGCCTGGTTACTTCAAAGTCCCCTAACATAGGTGATAGTTATAGTTACCCTACTTACATATGCCCACTTATAACTACCCAAGAAGCTCCAAGTAGGGCCTAAACCCCAAACCCCGTAGAACCCTTAAAAGTATTCTCGCCATCCATGACGCTGCAAGCAAATCCTAAACCCTCTATGTGCCTTGTGCTTGCTTGGGAGGTTCAGGCAGACGCAAAAAGGAGTTCAAAAAAACAAAAACGAAACCCTAGACCCTTTTCGAGGTACGGCGTCACGGAATGTTGCGTCTACAACGCTGCACGGCAGATGGCCGCCGGGGATCGGTTTGGGCCTCGGCGCACTCATAGACTCTAGGGTTGTGGGGTTTAGGGGTTTAGGGTTTTAGAGGGTTAGGGGTTTAGGGTTTAGGGGTGTAGGGTTTTAGGGTTTTGTGTTCAGGATTTTAAGTTTTAGGAGGGAATATGTAGGGCTCGACCGGCAGGCTCTGGTAACCAGGTCTTGCGCGTGTAAGAGGAGGACATAACCAAATGAAGGTGTTTGTAAAGTTCTGCAACCTCCAATAGGCAGTTCTAAGTGGAATTGTAAGCACCTACCCGGTTATAAGTTATAAGTATAGCTACCCGATTTATAGCCCCATTTTTAACTACCCATGAACCTGCAAGTAGGGCTTTGAATGGTTACTTCAAAGCTATGAAGGAAGTTGTAGGGTTTTAGGGTTTAGGGTTTCAGGTTTCGGGATTTAGGGTTTAGGGTTCAGGGTTTAGGGGCTTAGGGATCTAGGGTTTAGGGTTCAGCCTTCAGAACCTGGCTATGACTGAAGGCTCAAAGGTGTTCGGTTCGGACTCGGACCCTAAGCCCTGAACTCCCTGCAACTTACCTTTGGCTAGTAGGGAAAGGCGGAATGGGGTACAATTATAACTGCGATTACTACCATTCTTCCATTCCCTACTAACCAAAGGTAAGGCAAGGGTGCCCTCCAAGAGTTCCTGTTCATGTTCCTTGAAGGGTTCCTTTGAGTTTGGTTCTTCAGGTTCTAGGGATCCATTTAAGGGATTTATAATAGGGATGTCTTATTGGTTCTTTCAAGGGGTACGAACAGGATCTATACGAAGGGTTTCTTTCAAGGGGTTCCTTCCAGGGTTCCAGAAGGGATGTATAATGAGGAGTTTCTTTAAACGGGTTTAAGGGGTACGTCAAGGGATCTATAGTCATGATTTCCTTTACCAGACTGCCTTTAAGGGTTCTACAAGGGAGAATCTCATGTTTGGGTCGAGGATAGTCCGTCTTTGAGTTCATATACACCCAGAGCCAGCAAGCCACCAACACCCCTTTGTTAAGGTAATGTTCGATAAACGTTAAGCTGTAAGGAACTTTTCATTATGGTTTAAGGTCGACTCCTGATATATACTTGGAGGGTCAGGGGACTTAGTAGGTAGTAAGTAGACGTACAAGTACCCCAAAAGGGACCCTAATTGGGGTTATGGTACTTATAAGTCCCTAAAATAACCAGTTACTAAGTCCCCCGACCCTGCAAGTATTGGGCTCTCTGGGAAACCTGGAGACCCTGTAAACTGTAAGCCTCATTTTTCACATTTTGCGATACCGTAAGCCCTACACGATCGCAAATGTTAAACTCAGTTCCTCCCAGAACTTGGACACTTGAAAACTAAAACCAGAACCCTGTAGAGCCCTAAACCCTAAACCCTTGAAACCCGCCTAGACCCCCACAAGTAGGTGAGATAATGGCCCAACACCTAGAAAAGGCCATTCCTCCACATGCTTGTAGTGTCCAGGCAAACGCTAAGGAAGCCTGAGCGTTGACAGCCGGAAGCCCCAGGCCGACGTTGATTGGTGCGCCCTTGCCCGGCAATGGTCTTCACGTCTTCGAGGTCCACGGATATCGGGGTTTAGTCCTTGGAAGGTTTGAGATTTGGGGCTGAAGGGTTTATAACGTATTGGGTTCACGATTTCGGTGTTTAAGGTTTAAGCGTAGGAGGCAGGGCTTTGGGTTTAGGGGTTTAGGGTTTAGGGGTTCGCAACATGAGAGACAGCTTTTTCGGTACTATGTATCCCTATAGTGGTAACATTAATATATAAGTAAAGCTCCGTAGTACCCCATAAAGCCCTTCGAAGCTGGTTGAAGCACTGCAGAAATATGCGGATTTTATTTGTTCTATATTACTACATAGAAGCAAAAGAAACGAATAAACGTTTTTGCAAAGTTATGTAAACAAGTCCATGCATTGATATCAATAAAGAGCTGTATATGTGTACATATATATATATATATATATATAGATAGAGAGAGAGAGAGAGAGAGAGAGAGAGAGTGAGTGAGAAAAGTGTAGAGTACAACTGAAAGATTTAAGGGCACCCCCCCCGGGCCACCACCTGCATGGAGTCGACCACAGGGCTTCAAGTGGGCTAAAGAGGCCCTAAGATGTCATTCTGGCTTTATGCGGCTGTATATGACTTTCTGAGTTGTGCTTTTGGATAATTTTGAATTTCCCTTATGTCCTTATAACTGGAACCTATTCGTAAATAACTTTCAAAGGGCTTAAAGCACAACCCAGTTTTGTATAAGGGCTCTAATACGGGTAGCAGACTCCACAAGCTCTGAAATGGCGGAATCGTCCGCAATAGTAGTATTGATGCGCAAACAAAGCTGTGACGCCCGAAGCTCATGCCACGATGCTGTCACTCTTAGTGCACTCTTTGGCTGCTCATCCAAAGATTCAGTGTAGTATCACAGAGATCAAGAAAATCCCAGTCCCTAATAGAGTAACCCCTCAACGCCAGCGACCTTAAACCCAAAGTACGGGACAATGTCGATCCTAACCACCCTTAACTCTGTATCAAGCCCTGAAACCTCAAACCATGGACCCGAAACCTCAACCCGAGAAGGCTAAGCTGACCTAAGATTCTGCAAGCCCTGCTGTGGAAATCATGGACGGAGCTCCCTTGCGGCAGAGTGGCGCCAAAACGTCTACAGATGGCAGCAGGTACGTCTGCACGAAGGTTTGGCGGTTTAGGGGTTTGGGTTCTGGGTGTTTTGGTTTCCTGACTTTGATGATTAACGTCCTGGCTGCGGCTACAATCGTTCTGCCACCAGCAAGCCTTCTTCTCGCACTCTACTCGCAGTACTGGCATGTTCTGCCCGGCGTGAGTGCTTGTGACACTTGCTACTGCCTAAACCCTAAACTCTAAACAGTGTGTGTGTGTGTGCCAGATACTGGTGGGCTGGATCAAAAAGGCCAATACGCATTAGAAAGAGACCCGCTGCAGTCGCGCTGAGGATGACTTTATGTCCGACTTCAATCCTTGCCTAAGCTCCCAGAGAACTCAAAGACCTTCTCAGGCCGTAAACATCTGGGCCAGAAGGAGGTTTTCTACGTACAAGGAAGAAGTTTAGAGAACCCAAATGAGGTTTAGGACCTACCCGTACACCACAGAGCCTGCCTTTTTCTGGGCTACTTATGACTTTCTGGACATATAGTCCTGAAAAAGGTGGGTGGTTTAGGGTTGGGTCAAGCTGCAGTTGAGGGTCGAAGCCGACTTGTCACGCCAAAACCTAGAACAGACTATCCTAAATAATTACCAATACTATTTGGGGGGTTCCTCGTTATTGTTACATAGTATAATGGGCCCCAGGGCCCCACAACCCTATTCTGTTTGTTAAGGCCCCTACAACCTCCCTTACTTCAGGGTATAACCCCCCTAAAAGAAGGTTTCGGGATCCTCAAAGAAGCCTTGAATCGCTGCAGGAACGCTTAGTAGCTGAGTAGGTAACCTTTAACCTATTGGGTCCTATATAATTCTACCCATAATTGAAAAGGCTAAGCCCTAAACCCTAAACCCCCTAAACGCGCAAAAACCTTAAACCCTAAAATTCTAAACCCCCCCTAAACCCCCAGGTACTCAGCCCCTAAGAATGCCGATGCACAGGTCCTTCGAGGAGAGCTGCTGTCGCTTCGTGGCGTCGATGGCGGCTTCAAGTCCGGACGTCGTGCGCGGGATTCCTCTTTCTCGGCTGGTCCGGTTTCTGGGTTCATCTAAATGAAGACAGAGTGGGTTCCTTTAATGGGATCCTTTAAGGGTTCCTTAAAGGGTTCTATAAGGGTCCCTTTAAAGGGCTCTATAAGGGTTTAGGGTTTCCGAAATTAGGGGTACCTTATTTTGGTGTCCTTATACATTTAGGGTACTAGATTAGGGTTCCCTATTTT